GCTCGTCTATATCTGCTAGTCCTGCTATATCAATTAGGTTGAGTTTGGTCAACCTAACATTATAGTGATAGGCTCTTCTCATTGAGAATTCTTGGATACCTTCAGCCATAACTTCTTCCACACTTCGTTTGTGCATTTATCAGTTAATTCTTGCCAAGGGAAGCTGATATTGCCTATGGCATTGATGATATATTTTTTCCAAAATTGCACCAAACAAACATAGATTTTAAAGAAAGTACACCTTTTTGCTCTTTTTCTGATTGGTTTATGTTCGTAAATAATGAATGAAATGCTGCGATAATTTAAATCAGTGTAAATTTTGAGCTTTTTTTTAGGCTTTGAACAGACTTCATTATATTGAATCAGCATTAAGCAAGGCAGCATTAAGCAGGGTCTTGCTGTATATTTTAGGAATTTATTAAATGAAGAAAACCCCAGAACTTTATACAAGAATGGAGAGGCAAATGAAGAAGTGGTGCAAGATATTAGCAGAGAAGAAGTGGAAAGTGTGCTTAGGAAAATGAAGATGGGGAAAGCAGTAGGCACTGATTGGATTCTGGTTGAGGCTTGGAGAGGTTTGGGTAAGGAGGGAATTGATATCCTCTGGGACCTTATGAAGAAACTCTGGCATCAGGAGAAGATCCCAGATGAATGGAGGAAGAGTAGTCTTGTGCCAATCTTTAAAGGTAAAGGGGATGTATAGAATTTCGGAAATTACAGAGGTATCAAGATATTGTCCCATACTATGATGATTTGGGAGAAAATTGTAGAAAGAAGGATTAGGCAGAAATCTGAGATTGGAGAGGAACAGTTTGGCTTTTTGCCGGGAAGGAGTATGACTGATGATATCTTTGCTCCAAAACAGCTGATGGAAAGGCACAGGGAAATGCAGGAAGATTTGCATATGGTGTTCATAGATCTAGAAAAGGTGTAGGATAGGGTACCAAGGCAAGAGATATGGAGATGTTTGAGAGAAAAGAATGTTCTAGAAAAATGTTAGGCTCGTTAAGGAAATGTACGAGGGAGCAGAGACCCAAGTTAAGAATAGTGTGGGCACTACAGAACAGGGCCGCCGTAAGCGGGCGTGCAAGGCGTGCACTGCACGCGGGCGGCACGTCCAGGGGGCGGCAAAGAGCCTTTCTGGCAATCGGGCGGCATAATCGGTATTGCACACGGGCGTTCAAACAGCTAGCGGCGCCCCTGCTACAGAAGGGTTCTTCGTTAATGTTGATTTGCATCAGGGATCAGCCCTTAGCCCTTTTTGTTTGGCCTGATAATGGATGTGTTGGTGTGTGACATGAAATGCGAGGCTCCATGGAGTATGCTGTTTGCGGATGATATTGTGCCCTTTGAACTTTCCCAAACCAAGGCTGAGAAGATACTGGAGGATTGGAGGAAAGTTTTGGAAGAAAGGGCATGAAGATTAGCAGAACTAAAACAGCTTATATGGCTTTGAATGGTGGAGATGAGTGTAATATTAAAATCCAAAATGTGCCATTCCCTTTTGTTCCAAGTTTTAAATATTTTGACATTTGTCGAGATGGGAGTAGGATTGAACTCAGAGCATAGAATTCAATGTGGATTGATGAACTGGCGGAAGCTGAGTGGTGTGTTATGTGACAAGAAAGTTAGCTGCAATCTAAAAATAAAATTGTATAAATCAATTGTTAGACATGCAATGTTATATGGAGCTGAGACATGGGCAATAACAAGAGCCCAAGAAAGAAAAATGGAGGTGGCAAGAAAGAAAAGGAGGAGAATGTTGAGATGGATGTGTGGAGAGTCAAGGAAGGATAGAATAAGAAATGATTTTATTAGAGGTTCTGTTAAGGTCCCTTGAGCAAAAGAATGCAAGAATGTAGGTTGAGGTGGTTCGGCCACATAGAGCAAAGAAGTGACAATTATGTTGGAAAGAAGATCAGAAAACTGGTAGTAAGAGGAAAAGAGGAAGACCAAAGATGTGTTGGAAAGATAAGGTGGAAGAAGACTTGAAACAGAGGGGACTTAAGAGAGAAGAAGCCCTTGATAAGGAAAAATCGAAAAAATGTATTAGAGAAGGAAACGCCAACCCCATATAAACATGGGAAAAGGCAAAGATGAAGAAGAAGTAAATCCAATTGCAGGAATACTTTTAATAAACCAATGATAGCTCTAAATGCATTTTGCCTTTGTAACTAGAAGACCTCCTCAATACAGTCAATGGCAACTATACAGTTTTAGACTTTAACATTAGTATCATTCTTATTTCCCGAAGTTACATTTATATTCTCAATGAAGACTTCCCAACATGCAACCACCAACATGCCCATACTTAAATTTACAACATTACTGTGCATAACTATCACAGTATTTTTCCCACAATAAACAATTTTAACATCTATTTAACTTCCTAATACACCAGGTTGAAATATAAAACCTCTTACTTGAAACCAGTTAACTGGAGTAAAAAATTGTTAAGTGCAAATGTTTTTGACACCCCTTCTAACATCATTGACATCAATCTTACAATTATTAACTAATGGTATTATTTTGTATGGTTCAAAGTAGCAGCATGAGTTTTTTGGAATGTCCTCATTGCTAGATTGGAATCTAAATACACATAAGATTGTCAGGATAGTACAGTACATGGCATCAGTGGGCTTATTGTGGTCCTGGAGTTGTTAGCAGGACCACAATAAGCCCAAAAAAAACATGAATATCCAGTTATTTCTTGTTTGGAGTTGTTATAGACAATGAACAGGTAATGAATAGTAATACTTGATGCTGTTGGCAATGGTAGGTACATGGATAACACATTGATCAGTATTTGATTAAATCTTTTTACAAGACCATTGATCTAGGGTGGCCAGCTTTTTGCTGGATTGTCATGCATTTGACTACTATGTCCTCCATCCGGCATCATCTTGCACCAGACATCAATTTGTCCTTTTTTGGGGTGTGATGAAAAATGTGTACAAAAATAGTTCAGTTGGCACTGAATGAATTGAGGAAGCTGATTAACATTTCCAAATGGCCCACACCACTTTGACCTAGTGGCAGCGGCGGCCTTATCCATTGCGAGGCTCTGGGCAGCAGATCTTTGCGAGGCCCTTGTCCTTTGTGCAAAGTATGTGAATTGAAATAGTAGGCACTTATTAATATTAATATATACTGTACTATAAATTAAATTTATTTTATTGTTATAACTAATAGCCAAGGATAAAATAAAAAGTTTTAAATATCAACTTTTTTCTACTTGGTTGTTGCGCAAGGCCCCGGGCGATTGCCTTGCTCGCCACCCCCTAAGGCCGCCACTGCCTAGTGGCACTTTGGCCATTTTCTTCATTAAGAGGCCAAAGAATTTCACTATAAATGGTCACAAATGTTTATTGGATGAGGGCACGGCAGGGATGAAAGGTCTAACCAATCATCTTTGGACTTTGGCAGAATTCTCTTTTTAACTGGACAGAAGTTGCATATGTGGCTGGCAAGATAGAGGAGGTTGAAGTTATTAAAATTTGGAAGCAGACTATTGCTGACCCCTAGAAGCCTGCCATTCTTTTGCTATTGCTGACTATTGCTGCCATTCTTTGCAAGTTGCTTCAATTGAGTGCCAGCACCCGCATCTTTCCCAGCTTGCTTGAAGGTCTCATAGGCATCGCCAAATTTATATTTCCATTTTTTATTTATACATGTATGTATAAGAAAACGGAAAGCATGGGGGTCAACAGGGTGCATGGAGGTTACCTCTCCCAAACAGTGTCCTTTTTTTAAGCATTGCGTGATGGTCACCCTACATTGGTCTGGGGATGATAGTCGATTGTTCTTTAATATATAGTGCTAAAAATGGAGAGTACTATCTGAACAAGAAATGAATGGCCTCCATCACTAATTTGCTTCTTTGATGCACATATTTCAGGATAATTTCACTGACCAAGAAGTTGGTAACATTGACAGCTGTACACTTGGTTGTAGTGCAGGTGATAGATTCATAACAACTCAGGTAGTCAATGGCCCATTGCCATTGACTACCTGATAAGCCATTTATTGTCTGATAATGATATAGAGAAACATTCCAAGAAATTGAAGCCAATAGTGTCAAAAGGTTTTCTTAGTGATAGAATCAGTATCAGTTGCCCAGTTGCAAATATCGAGAGGCTTTTGCAATTAGCTTTCTTTGCAGCCTTTGATATATTATCAGATATGATGACTTATTCCTGTCCACTAGTGGTTGTAAGCAATATGTTTGTAGGTATGGGTATAACTGAAGCAGCTAGCAGTTCGATTATTGTGGTAGGTTTCCAAAACAGAACAGAAGAGAGACTGTGGTGCCAAGGTAGGCCAGTTGGATCATAGCTTCATCAGTAAAATGTTGAAGCAGAAATATAGTTACATTTTCATTTACTATAACTTCTGGATTGTTTCATCAGCCTCTTGATGTTGCCTCCAGTAAAGTAGACCTGTGATGATGATCACCTCTTTGTTTAAAGGGGAATTGATTGGGTACAAGAAAGATTATTGGCATCTAGATAATTTTATTTGGATTAATGTATAATTCTTATATCATACTTCTGGAAATGTAGAGCCCACTGGGTGAGTTGGCTCTAAGGATCACAGAGACTGGCTAATCAACATAATGAGTAGTGATTGATTACCACTCATGATGGTTGTATGAATATGGTATAAACTTTTTAATGGCAAAATCTATGCCAAATCACATCAAAGTGGATTTGGCATAGATTAGAATGTCTTCTGTCAGAAGGACAGAATCCAGTTCAAATGAATGCAAATTAGAATTTAATATTCATATATTTGGTGTCCTTGTATCAAAGAACATTATCTACATTATTAATTTATAAATGTTTGATTAGATTGTTTCATTTAAATTTTTACTTTACATGTATTCTCTTAAAAACTTATAGAATTATTTAAATGAAATGTCATTAAAGATAAAAATTGTATAAATATTTAAAATAGATAAATTAATTCTTATTAGTTCTAATTTTTGCTAAATTTTTCAGATATTATTTCTGGCTTTGCTGAATTATATTTCAAAGTGGAACCAAGTGATATCATAGTTGTAAAAGATGCTCCGGCAATGTTAGATTGTGTTGCAATTGGAAATCCAGTTCCAGTTATTGAATGGAAGAAAGAAGGTGCTATTATGCAGTTTATAGGAGAAACAAGAAGGTATTTTTAATAGTAAATTTTTTATATTCTTTCATGAAGTTGTCAAATTATTATTTAAGTCATTCTTGTGATAATGTCTTTACTCATTATTGATTAAATGATTGCTATAAAATTTGATTATGCTTTTAATTTTATTACATATTTAGAGTTTAGTTATTGTTCTTTGAATTATTATTAGTCTCATTTTTAATGAAAGGTTTTGTGTGTTCTGATTCTGAAATAAAAGTTAAAATTATATAAAAAATGAAATGGCTTAGTACATACATTAGTATGATCAATCTGTTTAGTTACATTTGTAAGTGGAATGAAATCTAAATTTTGTCTTAATAAAAATAGTCGTAAAGATGAATTGGTTACAAATAGAATCTGTTTCAATGTGGTGCTTATTTTACATTTGAAACTTAAATGTTTTATCATCATTATTTCTTACGTTACATAAATGTAGTAATAAATAAACACAAGGGATTTAGAAATGGCTCAAAAATTATGAAGAACAATTTAAATATATTTATGAATTATATATTATACAATGAAATTTCTCTTAAGGAATACTACAATTGAATAAGCATTCTTTTTAACAAGAATTTTTAGAAAATATGATTTAGAACATGATGAAAATAGCTTAAATTTAACAATTACAGTGTTATCATTTTTTACTTTTAAATTTGTTTGCTTTTTCCAATTAAAGTTATTTATTTTAGAAATAGCTACAGCTGTACTACTAGTTATGAGATCTTTCATAAATGAAATGGGATCATTTTAGGCAAGTGTTTTTCTCTCATTTCCTTTCACAGCCGTTACTGTCCATTTTGTGCAAAAATAGAACAGTTTATTAATGATTATTTGTAAGAGTTACATATCTAAAAATATAATTCATTATTTTGCTTTTCATTTACCTTGCAAATCATTTAGTTTCCTGTTTGGGAAGTTATCCTGTAAGTTAATTACTGCTAATACACTATTAAATATTAGCACTAATGATGCTGTCAAACAGCAATTACTAAAAAAAATTAATGCACTTCATTTGAGACAATTTTTCATGAAAATACTAAATGATCTTCATGATAAACATTTGTTTTAGCACTAAATAGATAATGATGAATAAATTTAATTGGGGAAAAAAGTCAAACTAATTAAGCAAATTTTAAAGTTAAGAATTGTGATATTATAGTTGTTAAATTTAACCCTTTTTTCAATGCAGTCTAAATTTACATTGTCAGATGATAATAGTCTTCAAAAGTTTTGTAGGTTTAAAATAATTTGAGAACATATCTGTATGAAATTAATAAGATTGTCTGTATCTCTTTTGCAAAAGTTATAGTATTGCTATAAAATAGAAATTAAAATTCCAAAGCCTGTTTTTGATTGTTATTCAATCTTCATTATATATTATTTCTGTAAAATGTAAATGCAAGAAGCATATTTGCCAACTATGGATCTCCCTGGGATCAAGTAAAAATTCCACAAGTAATAATCATAAAAATGATTGAGATAAGTGCATTACACTGTTGTCCATTGGACACTTTGATGTAATACTGTATTCTATAATCTACTTGTGAAAAAAACCCCCAAAAATTAAAAAATTAAATAAAATTTATTGTTGTAATAATTTGTCTCCAAGCTATGCTCCCCTGGAAAATTTTATGCCGACACAACCTTAGATTGCCATATTGCCAATCTTTAATGAGCAAACTTGATAGCTAGGAAAGGCTGATTTTGGAAAGCAAAAATTGAGAAATAAAAAAACAATTTATAGAAAGATTGTTGACAAAAATTGTGGCACTTTTGAGCATTTATTCAATCTTCGTTCTTTTTATCAAAATAATAGGTTTATAGTATTTATTAGCTTTCCCTACTAGACTGATTACTAGTAGTAAAAATGAAGAATATACAGAGTAGTGTTACTTTACACTATACATAATAAGTTCAAACAGAGCTAAATTTAACAAACAATACATTAAAAAACTAACCAAAAACCCAGATTTAATGCCAAAAAGTACTGACTTGGCAATACTATGTATTTTTTTGTTTTTTTTTCCTTTACTTTTTTCACCCTATGAGCACTGGGGAACTTTTTTTATCAAGCCCATTGTGAATTCAGCCAGGTCCACAGTGATGCAGCTGGATGATGAGGGACAGGGTCGAACATATCTGGATCAGACCACCTCAAAAATTCCTGGGTTTTTGATTCATCCAAATTTATTTCTGGGCTTACCAGAGCAGTAGACCTTAATCCACATGGTCCTCATCAACACTATTTGGTTAACATGACAGTGACATTAAGAAAGAACTCAATGTTGCCAGACTCAGATTGGCTTTCTCATATCAAAGAGTGGAAGATCTTGTATATCTACCATATTTTGAGACAAGATGCAGCAATTATTTAGAAAAATAATTAATTTTTTATAATGTAATCTGAAATTTAAAGTTTCCATTGAAAATCTATTGCTTAAAATCTTCTCTGCTTATTGTAACTCTTGTACATCTGGCATGTTAAACTTAAAGAAAATTTTAACCTTGGAGAGTGGACAATTTCTAAAAAAAAATTCCATATAACCAAACTTGGGATTTTTAGTATTGATCATAAATCCATGTTTATAATTATATTGTAATTTATATTGTAATTATAGGCCTATTGTATAAATTATATTGTAATTTATATTGTATTATACATTAAAGCTGTTATGTTGTCTCAAAAAAGCAGAGAATTTCTAGCTCAGATTTACATTTTCAAAGGTGGATTGGCAATTATGAAGAAGGCATATAGATTCAATCTGTAATCTTCTGAATAAGAATATTTAAAAAGTTATAAAAGTTTATGTTCTTTGATTTCCATTTTTCTTAAATCTAGTTAAATTCTTTATCAACAGTTTTTATATACTGATTCTGCAGATGTAAAGACCTATAAGACAAGAAGCAGTACCTATAACATAGGGATAAAGGACTGTAAAAATTTTTTAAATTCATTATATGAATAGTTTATTATTTTAAAAACTGAAAACTGTATAGTTGTAAACCTTATATTTTTGATAATTTCAGTTAATTATATTTAAAAAACAACCAATCAAAACTGGGTAAACTTAATGACAACAGCATCTAAATATTATTTATATTACAATTAAAACTCTTACAAGCAAAGATCCATAGATTATATTTGAAAATATCTAAATTATAATATAAATGTATATATATATATATATCAATGTAATAACTAGTTTTATTTTTAAACAAATGCTGTATGATTTAGTCAAGTTAACCTTTGTTGGGCCTCAAAATTAATGAAGCTAGGATGTCCAGATGGCCACTTTTAAACTAGAAAAGTTTGATGTTTATGCATCTGCAACTCCTCTTCCAACAGAAATCATGCATATCTGGTATTTTTGTGAAACCATCTGGCAATCATATTTGAGACAGATTTATTGTTATGTTTCATCAAAATTTTATAGAATGATAAATTCATATTCAAAAGCAATTACAGAAATAAGTTCTATAAATTATTACTTTAAATAAATTTATGTAAAAAAGAATGCTTTGTATTTACACAAATTGAAACAGACTTTGTAAAAACAGTTTTTTGAAATTTTCACATTCATTATTTTTAGTAAATCAATTTTGTTTTTTGTTTGTTTTAGATATTTTTGCTGTTTAATCAATTTATATGCTATTTATTTTATAGTTCATTTCCTACAGTTTTTATTTTCTATATTTTATATTTACAGAGTAAATTGTCACTATTAATGTAGTAAATAAGTGAAAAACTTTTGTTTCAAGTAGTGACGTACCGTGGGTGTCAGCCGCCTGGGGCGGAGGAAAATTTCAGTCCCCCTTATTTAGGTATTTCAATTTAAAAGACCAAAATTCAGTTTTGTCACAGAACAAGCAATGAAAAATTCGTAGTAGTGCAGCGACCTGTTTAAAATAGTTCTATTGGATATTAGTGGTGTATATGAATGCAAATGAATCGTACAAACAAAAAACAAAAAAAAAAAAGGTCAACAGGTTTTGCAGGAATTCCTCAGATGAAAATGGTACTAATTCTCGGGCTGTCCGGACGATAGCAGTATCGTACGCACGATGCAAGTATAGATTAGGATGTTTCAAATTTTTACAAGATATTATTATTATTTATTGTGAAATTTTGCCGCCCCTAAAAAGTGCCACCTGGGGTGGGCCGCCCCTGCCGCCCCCGCTACGGTACGCCACTGGTTTCAAGTCAAAGGTGATCACTATTAGTATAAATACTATTGGTTAATTTTTTTATTTATAAGGAATGATGAAGAGAAAAAATGTATCAATGATGCAAATAAATTTGTTTGTTATGAATGTTATAACATTTTTACACAAGCGAGAATACTATAATGTCTGACAAGAAAAAATTTATATTAAATATAAATGTTGAATCAAAATATAAATATAAAAATTAGTTGCAAATATTTTTGGAATTGATAATTATATTCTTGGATGATGATAAATGTACAATGTTTAAGTAATGCACATTTCAATTTACCAACATTACTAATTCATTAGGTATTTCTAACCTAATGAAGTAGTAATGTTGGTAAATTCAACAAATTTACATTCTAGGAAAATAATGACATTAGAAAATTACTTTCATTGAATGAAATGAAATTAGGAATTTAATTTTTGATTATTATTGATTCAAAATTAAGTCATCAGTTCAAATAATCTACATCAAATGGGATGAAACTTCTACTCACAATACGCATATGCATATTACATTTATTTATAGTTGCAATTTTTATCTTTATTGTACAACAACATATAAGTTATTAGTTCATTTGTTGAATGAAGTAGTTATAATCAATAAAATAAGAAAAAAACAGCAAAATTTTAAAACATTTTAATCAGAATTTTTACTAAATTTTATTAATTTTAATAAAAATACTTCTTAATAATACAGTAGTAATCAATTTTACACTCCTGATTATTAATTAATTAATTTATATTCAAAATTAATTAATTAATAATCAGGAGTGAAAAATTGATTACTACTGTCATGTCATGATCTATATAATTTATTATTATAATATGAATATAATAAAAAGTTATAGAATTATACTTAAGTGTAAATTTTATTTTCAGATCGATTCTTCCAAATGGTTCACTTTACTTTAGTAGTGTGTATCACACTCGTACAGAACGTCCTGATGAAGGAGTGTATCAATGTATTGCTACTATTAAAAATGTTGGCACTATTGTTAGTCGTTTAGCTAAACTTCAAATTGCTTGTAAGTCTCAAAAAAAATTCTCTTTATTAATATTTTTAATTACAATAATTTCAATTTATATTTTTAAAATAACTTATATAGTTGACATTATATAGAATTATTCAATGAGCAACATGTACTATAATTTTATGATTTTGTTGAAAACTGTCTTCCATTATAATTTATTACAAAAATTATAACCAATAGCATTTAAAAACAAGCATTAGATTTTTTAATTATTTGTATAAAAAATTTATTTTTAGCATTGCCCAGATTTGATGAACAACCACGTGACATGACAGTATTTCCTGGACAGTCTGCTTATTTTCCTTGTGCAATACAAAGTATACCTCCTGCCATTATTTACTGGTTGAAAGATGAGCAGCTATTTCAGTTGGATCATTCTCGAATGATTGTCTTGCCAAGTGGTGCTTTGGAGATTGATCATATTCAGGCCACTGATAGTGGTACATATCGTTGTAATGCATCTAATATCGAGAAATTTAGACTGAGCTCTGCTGGGACACTTTCTGTCAGTTTAGATTATGGTAATTTGTATATTATTCTTACTTTAAAATCAATGTTTTTAAGTTTTAGTGTAATTTAATGTAATTTCATGTAAAATATTGTTAAGTGCCTTTTATTTTGTTAGTGCCATTATATTTTTAAATAACATAATCAAATATCTTAAAATTTAGTTTCTTTCAAATTAATTTCATTCTATTCTCTTATTATTATGGAATTTTTTCAATTGTAATTTATTTTATTGTTAGATTAACTATTTTAGAACAATGAATGTCAAAGATAAAACAAATGATATCAAATAATTATTCATATATTAAATTTCTTAATCAGAACAAATTTAAATAAATATATTTGATTTGCATTGTTAATTAAATAGTAGACTGATTGTCGTTAGTAACTTAACAATGTAAAATAAATAAATTAATTATGAAAAAGTATCAAAAATCACTGGGTTATAATTACACTAAAGTAATTTAATGATTAAAGAATTTAAATAGGATAATATAATCTGCTAAAAATTTTAATAGTTAGTAAATATATAATTTAATTAATTTTTATGTCAGAAGCATTTTTAATTATGTAGTGATTAATAATTACTGTAATCCTACTCTAATCAAATATTAATATAAATTAGGATTAAATTCTGCTTGGAATTCAGCTATCATAATTGGTAATAGTCTCACATAGTTAATGAGTGTTATGGCTGGAATTCTGTCTAGGCATTATTTTTCAGTCATATTAAAATTTAATTAGATTATTTCATATTTACTAATTATTGAAATTTTCAGCAAATAATGACATGGCTACCTGTAATTTAAATTCTTTCAAATTTTGTAATCATTAAGTCTGTTAATTTTTGAAACTTACAATAAAAAACAAGATTAATCCATTTTAAAATTAAATCATGAAAAATGTATTAAGTCTACATTTAACACAATTATATAAACTTTATTAAAGTTAATAAAAATAAATAAAATTAATAACAATTATTAGTGAAATAATGATGATAATTTTATTGGTCTTATATTACATTCTGTCATCATTTTGATCAATTTAAATTGAAAAATTTTTAGAAAATATCAAAAATAATAAAATCAAACTTCCAATAATGGCTACCTCTAAACAACAAACCCCTTTCTGTTTCCATCAGTGGGACTTGTTCAGAGGCAATATTATTAAAAAGTTTTTTAAAGAAATTTAATCAGCTGTTTAAACTTATTTGAATAATTTTGGATAGAAGAAACAAGCTTTATTTCACTCTAAAATGATCATTCCACATTTCTCCCTATTGTCTAAATAGTTTTATTAGTTATGATTGAATACAATCTTTATTTAAAATTGTGTATTAACATTTATAAAATACAATACTTTATAGCAATATAAAATAAGTATTATTCCTTAAGTCATTTTGTTAATTATTCCAGTTTTGTTAGACTGAATAAGATAATACTTTCAAATAATATTTATGGATTTAAATTTATTTCATTAATGTGAAAAAAATTTAGTTAAATGACCATATTTTTCAAATTTTATTTTTTAATAGCTGAAGCAAACAGAATATCAGCTCCACAGTTTATTGCAACACCAAAAGATATAATTGCAGTTGAGGGAAATAATGTAACTCTGGATTGTGCTGCCAACGGTAATCCTCGGACAAGGATCGTCTGGTTGAAGGATGGAATTACAATAGACATGGCGTATGAAATTATTCGTTAGTTCTATAAAAGTAGAATGGAAGATTTTTTAGCATGTAAGATTAATGACCGTATTGTTCATTAAAAATAAAGTTATTTTCCTAATAGAGCAAATAATATAGTTTTAAATTAATTATATATTTTTTTTAACTTATAAAATTCTTTTATTTGGATAAGCTAGTTTAATGTCTTATGTGATTATTTTACTTGAATGTTAATATTCAATATTTATATACATTAGTCATTTAGATAGTAAGTTCATGATTGTTGGAATTGGAAATTTACAAATTGAGAATGTAAAGGAAAGTGATAAAGGAACATACATGTGTAGAGCAGAAAATCATGAAGATTCAGTTGATGCTAGTGCAACTCTTGAAGTTCAAGGTATTTTATATCTCAATGTATTTTATGTGATAGCTGGTGATTTTTGAATTAAAAGAAATTAATTTTAAACAGTTCCACCATATTTTGGAAAAAAGCCACAAAATAAATATGCTTATGAGAAAGAAGATTTGGAATTTGAATGTGAAATTCATGGTTTTCCTGAACCATCAGTACAGTGGGTCAAAGATGGTGATCTTATTATCCAAAGTGAATATTTTCAACTTATAAATGGGTACAATCTAAGAATTCTTGGTCTTGTGAGGTCTGACATGGGAATTTATCAATGTATTGGTTCAAATCCCAGTGGAAATACACAATCATCAGCTCAACTTGTTATTTTAGATCCAGGTAAATATGTGTGTACTTATTATTAAATGTTCAAGAACTTAGTTTTTCAGAGATCTAACATATAAAACATGTCTAAACAGATTGTATGAACTACAAGATATAATTAATTGGATTTATGTTAAGTTTTATCTACATGTATTAACATTAATGTAAATTATAATAACTTGCAAATATTTGCAAGCTTTTCAATTTAAATACTCTGCCAAACAACAATAATTAGGATGAAAGAAAAAGTAATTATTTATTTGAAAGATAGAATTTTAATTGCAAATCTAATGCTACATTAATTGCAACAATTTTTTTAAAAACTAATTATTTAGCTAATATATCTAGTCATTTACAAGACATCTCAAAAGTTAAATAGCTTTAGTTCTTGAAATGATTTTGTGTTTCTTCTTCAAGCATTTCATCTATCTATCATTTTTTTAGGAACAGATATAATAATGAATTATTATAACAGAAAATAAACTTCTAAGAATTTGTAAGATTTACTTTGAAATGTTATTACACTTATAAGTTATTATAGCAAGCATTTGTAATCTAATAGCCTTTAATCTGAGAACCCTAATCATTTGGCATATTTTGCAAAGACTATTTTGGAAAATCTAAAAATTTTGAATATGAAATTATTTGTTGTGTATCCATTGATAAATGATAAATTTTTACTGTTATATCTATTTCTTGTGCTTATTTACCACATTCAATATCCACTACTTGATATTTAGTTTGATCTATAAATAATTGAAAGAATAAGTGTAGATATTATGCAAATTCTTCTGTAGAAAAAATTAGAGACGAAAACAATCATCACATTCAAAAATATTATTATCTTTACAAGATCTGTATACTTTCCAGATACATCAACTGTTACATGGTGATTTTATCTCATTTAAAAGTATGATACAAATTATATATCCTGTTAATGCATGCCTTTTTCCAAGACACTGACTGAATGTTTGTATATTTATTTCATAGATAATACATGTAATATAATTGATTTTTTTCATCAATCATTATTACTCTTGCTGAATTTGTTAAATGACTATTTTCCAGAAAAATTTATAACATAGCTCCATTCATATCCTGATGCATTCATCAGGATATGAATGAAGCTAGGTTATAAATTTTTCTGGAATTAAGAATATTTAACTGTAATCTAAAATTCTTGCAATGTTGCTGTTATTTTTTATTACCAGAATCTGAGTTTTTAAATTATTTGTAATATATCAATTATTAAATTATCAATCAAATATTTTTATTTGCATTAAGGCTAAGCCTTGTTACAGGGGTTATTTTTCCAATGATATATTAATATACATTTGTTATCTATCAATCGTTTGATATACATCTTCAAAATCATCAATATCATCACAATAACCGTTTAATAGTAAATTTTGTCGTTATTCATCTTTTAAATATTTTACTTTAAGTAACATAATTAATAAAAAACAATTTTTCTAGTTTTATTAATTTATTACATATTTTTTAGTTCTTTGGCAATTTNCGCATCTTTCCCAGCTTGCTTGAAGGTCTCATAGGCATCGCCAAATTTATATTTCCATTTTTTATTTATACATGTATGTATAAGAAAACGGAAAGCATGGGGGTCAACAGGGTGCATGGAGGTTACCTCTCCCAAACAGTGTCCTTTTTTTAAGCATTGCGTGATGGTCACCCTACATTGGTCTGGGGATGATAGTCGATTGTTCTTTAATATATAGTGCTAAAAATGGAGAGTACTATCTGAACAAGAAATGAATGGCCTCCATCACTAATTTGCTTCTTTGATGCACATATTTCAGGATAATTTCACTGACCAAGAAGTTGGTAACATTGACAGCTGTACACTTGGTTGTAGTGCAGGTGATAGATTCATAACAACTCAGGTAGTCAATGGCCCATTGCCATTGACTACCTGATAAGCCATTTATTGTCTGATAATGATATAGAGAAACATTCCAAGAAATTGAAGCCAATAGTGTCAAAAGGTTTTCTTAGTGATAGAATCAGTATCAGTTGCCCAGTTGCAAATATCGAGAGGCTTTTGCAATTAGCTTTCTTTGCAGCCTTTGATATATTATCAGATATGATGACTTATTCCTGTCCACTAGTGGTTGTAAGCAATATGTTTGTAGGTATGGGTATAACTGAAGCAGCTAGCAGTTCGATTATTGTGGTAGGTTTCCAAAACAGAACAGAAGAGAGACTGTGGTGCCAAGGTAGGCCAGTTGGATCATAGCTTCATCAGTAAAATGTTGAAGCAGAAATATAGTTACATTTTCATTTACTATAACTTCTGGATTGTTTCATCAGCCTCTTGATGTTGCCTCCAGTAAAGTAGACCTGTGATGATGATCACCTCTTTGTTTAAAGGGGAATTGATTGGGTACAAGAAAGATTATTGGCATCTAGATAATTTTATTTGGATTAATGTATAATTCTTATATCATACTTCTGGAAATGTAGAGCCCACTGGGTGAGTTGGCTCTAAGGATCACAGAGACTGGCTAATCAACATAATGAGTAGTGATTGATTACCACTCATAATGGTTGTATGAATATGGTATAAACTTTTTAATGGCAAAATCTATGCCAAATCACATCAAAGTGGATTTGGCATAGATTAGAATGTCTTCTGTCAGAAGGACAGAATCCAGTTCAAATGAATGCAAATTAGAATTTAATATTCATATATTTGGTGTCCTTGTATCAAAGAACATTATCTACATTATTAATTTATAAATGTTTGATTAGATTGTTTCATTTAAATTTTTACTTTACATGTATTCTCTTAAAAACTTATAGAATTATTTAAATGAAATGTCATTAAAGATAAAAATTGTATAAATATTTAAAATAGATAAATTAATTCTTATTAGTTCTAATTTTTGCTAAATTTTTCAGATATTATTTCTGGCTTTGCTGAATTATATTTCAAAGTGGAACCAAGTGATATCATAGTTGTAAAAGATGCTCCGGCAATGTTAGATTGTGTTGCAATTGGAAATCCAGTTCCAGTTATTGAATGGAAGAAAGAAGGTGCTATTATGCAGTTTATAGGAGAAACAAGAAGGTATTTTTAATAGTAAATTTTTTATATTCTTTCATGAAGTTGTCAAATTATTATTTAAGTCATTCTTGTGATAATGTCTTTACTCATTATTGATTAAATGATTGCTATAAAATTTGATTATGCTTTTAATTTTATTACATATTTAGAGTTTAGTTATTGTTCTTTGAATTATTATTAGTCTCATTTTTAATGAAAGGTTTTGTGTGTTCTGATTCTGAAATAAAAGTTAAAATTATATAAAAAATGAAATGGCTTAGTACATACATTAGTATGATCAATCTGTTTAGTTACATTTGTAAGTGGAATGAAATCTAAATTTTGTCTTAATAAAAATAGTCGTAAAGATGAATTGGTTACAAATAGAATCTGTTTCAATGTGGTGCTTATTTTACATTTGAAACTTAAATGTTTTATCATCATTATTTCTTACGTTACATAAATGTAGTAATAAATAAACACAAGGGATTTAGAAATGGCTCAAAAATTATGAAGAACAATTTAAATATATTTATGAATTATATATTATACAATGAAATTTCTCTTAAGGAATACTACAATTGAATAAGCATTCTTTTTAACAAGAATTTTTAGAAAATATGATTTAGAACATGATGAAAATAGCTTAAATTTAACAATTACAGTGTTATCATTTTTTACTTTTAAATTTGTTTGCTTTTTCCAATTAAAGTTATTTATTTTAGAAATAGCTACAGCTGTACTACTAGTTATGAGATCTTTCATAAATGAAATGGGATCATTTTAGGCAAGTGTTTTTCTCTCATTTCCTTTCACAGCCGTTACTGTCCATTTTGTGCAAAAATAGAACAGTTTATTAATGATTATTTGTAAGAGTTACATATCTAAAAATATAATTCATTATTTTGCTTTTCATTTACCTTGCAAATCATTTAGTTTCCTGTTTGGGAAGTTATCCTGTAAGTTAATTACTGCTAATACACTATTAAATATTAGCACTAATGATGCTGTCAAACAGCAATTACTAAAAAAAATTAATGCACTTCATTTGAGACAATTTTTCATGAAAATACTAAATGATCTTCATGATAAACATTTGTTTTAGCACTAAATAGATAATGATGAATAAATTTAATTGGGGAAAAAAGTCAAACTAATTAAGCAAATTTTAAAGTTAAGAATTGTGATATTATAGTTGTTAAATTTAACCCTTTTTTCAATGCAGTCTAAATTTACATTGTCAGATGATAATAGTCTTCAAAAGTTTTGTAGGTTTAAAATAATTTGAGAACATATCTGTATGAAATTAATAAGATTGTCTGTATCTCTTTTGCAAAAGTTATAGTATTGCTATAAAATAGAAATTAAAATTCCAAAGCCTGTTTTTGATTGTTATTCAATCTTCATTATATATTATTTCTGTAAAATGTAAATGCAAGAAGCATATATGCCAACTATGGATCTCCCTGGGATCAAGTAAAAATTCCACAAGTAATAATCATAAAAATGATTGAGATAAGTGCATTACACTGTTGTCCATTGGACACTTTGATGTAATACTGTATTCTATAATCTACTTGTGAAAAAAACCCCCAAAAATTAAAAAATTAAATAAAATTTATTGTTGTAATAATTTGTCTCCAAGCTATGCTCCCCTGGAAAATTTTATGCCGACACAACCTTAGATTGCCATATTGCCAATCTTTAATGAGCAAACTTGATAGCTAGGAAAGGCTGATTTTGGAAAGCAAAAATTGAGAAATAAAAAAACAATTTATAGAAAGATTGTTGACAAAAATTGTGGCACTTTTGAGCATTTATTCAATCTTCGTTCTTTTTATCAAAATAATAGGTTTATAGTATTTATTAGCTTTCCCTACTAGACTGATTACTAGTAGTAAAAATGAAGAATATACAGAGTAGTGTTACTTTACACTATACATAATAAGTT